CAACAGCAGCTACCAAGCAGCAGCAGCAGCAGGAGCAGCAGCAGCAGGGAAAGAGTGAACTTTCCTTAGAGTTTTCGTGCCCCAAAATTTGGTCTCGAACAATAGCAGAGTACTTGTAGAAGGGCGACGTGGAAAGACAGATATATCTGATATATCTGTTTTTTCCACAAATAAATGCTGACGATGCAGCCAGCAGCGGTGTGCATGATTGACATCTAGGGGTTGCATGCGAACATGTGTCAGCGACCGAAGACTCCGTCGCAACGCTTGTGCATGCTCCCTGTCGCCCGAACATGGAACGCGGACTACCATGAGTGAAGCAAACAGCCCGTTCAAACATCTTACTGGGTTCTGTCATTCATGTGTGTAGTAAGTATCATCTTTTGATCTGCATGGATAGCGGATAGTGCATTCTGATTTGTACTCTTGGGGTTGTGGGGTGGGTACATGCCTGTCCAAGCTTCTTAAGGATATAATGAAATTAGCATCGTTTCACGACTCAGAGGGAATGCAACTACTCTCGGTTCTAACGAATAGGCTTTCTTCAGCACCAACAGCAGCCAACAACCCCAAACAGCAACAGCAGCAAAACTTAGCCGACAACAAGCAGCAGGCAGCCAGCATCCAGCAGCAGCAAGCATGCAAGCAGCAAGCAGCAGCAACCAGCAAGCAGCCAAGAGCCAGGCGCAGATGAGATGACAGCAGCAGCAGCAGCGACCAAGCAGCAGCAGCAGGTACCGAGGAGGAGAAGGTGGAGTTGAACCCCGCGAGGGGGGGGGGTTATAGTCCTGATATATCAGGTAACAGCACTCAGGTCCTGGGCTCCCACCCTCCTTGCTAAAGCAAGACAGACTCCAGCTAGCTACAGCTAGCTTTCGTGATGTTCTGAGATCCGTAATCTGACATGTGCCCTGACAGAGTGCTGACATGTATTCTGACATTACGGCTTCTGACATATGTTCTGACATCGACTGGCATGTTGACATTTGTTCTGACAATGTGCTCTGACACGTGTGCTGGCAGGTCTTCTGACATGTGTTCCGTCATATCTTTCGGAGTCCAATCAAGCCCAGCACGGCACACAGCCTTGCGAGGCCCATAGGAATCCAGCCCAGCGCGACACAGCAGCTTGGAAGACCCAAGGAGGAGGAAAAGGAGGAATAAGAGAACACGGACTAGTAGCTTCCTTGCTCCTAGTAGCGATGCCCTTTGCTCCTAGCAGCTTCTTATTTCTAGTAGTAAGGCCAGGAGCTAAGCAAGCCTTGCTCCTAAAATCTAGAGCCCCTCACCTGACAGGTGACGACAAATGGCCTTGCCTCAACTTAGCAAAACCCTCGAAGTACCAGTCACAAAAACCCAGCTTGCGATGTTGCCAATCCAGCTGCGCTAACTGAAGAATATTCTATTGGCTGGCTGTGCGTGGCACAATCTGGACACACTGCAGGGGTGCTCTGTTAGTGCTTGGATTGTTGGTGTTTGCACCTCGAATTCGACGACAGTCTCACTAAAAAGGAGAAAGGGTCACGAATTTGCAGTTTATCGGAATCTGCGAATCCTTGGAGTCCTGGCAGGCGGCAGGAAAAACCAATCGGTCAGTAAGTCAGTCAAGGTTCGTACGTCTTGGCTGATAGGATCTGCCCCATCTGCATGTCAATGACCACCACATTGAGGCCGCGACGATTGGCCATTCCCCCGATCGGCACCTGAGGTACCGAGCTTCGTCGAGCGTAAGATGTGCGTGCTATTGAGCGGGGCCTCCCACCTGCTAGTGGGATTGCGATGGGGAAAACGAGGGATCAATCCAAAGATGTGCGGGGGCAAAGAAAGTGCACACATTCTGAGACAATTGGAAGAGAATGCAGATTGATGAACAACGATGAACATGCTCTCATCCCCCTAGCAGTGTGGTTGCAATCTTCTCATCCCCAGCAGGAAGAACCAAGGAATCCGTTCTATTCACCATGTCCGTTCGGTTCCCCATGTCGTGGCTTCTTTGATTCAACACCGAAATCAACTCGGTTGTTTTCACAGACCTTTTGCATCTTCGGGTGGGTCTAACAGGTCCCACTTGACCGAACACGATCTGGTCCTGCCGAAAGGACACATGAGTCCCTCCTCTTTGGCATTTTCGCTTCATTTTCATGCGATTTCATGAGAACCGCATGCCTGTCGCCAGCGGAACCGCTGTTTCATGCCGGCACGGCACGAGAGAGCGGCAAATAGCGTGGTTCACATGGAGCTATGCTCGTGATGCGACGCGTGATGCTTGCTGAAACATTGGGGTTCTCAGGTGAGCCACCCCAGATTGCCCTCATTCACTGGAGTGAACACCAACTTCCTGCGGAAACACGTCTGCCCATTTGTTTTTGCTGTGATGCCACTGTGAAGCTACTCTCTCCAACAATCGTGGAAGTGGACAATGGCCGGAAAGAGGCCTTTCCTCTACTAAACAGGGTCCACTTAGGAAACTACGAACCCGTCTAACCCGTCTAATACGTCGTTGCTCTCGGCGTCGCCGTGTCGTCCCAAACCAGGGCGCTTTCTGATCCTGGTGGCGGACGGGGGAGAGGGCCCATGGTGGCCATGCTGTGGCCGTCTCCTTGCTTTCATACTAGGAACAAGGACGCTACTAGGGGCTCCTGGCCGTACTAGGAGCAAGTAGCTATATACTAGGCACAAAAAGCTATTAGGTGGATGCCATCGTTCTTTGGTGGAGGCCATTACTACTAGCAACAAGAAGCTAGTAGGTTCTGTTCTGGCAGTTTCGGGCCCCAGAGAATTGATTTCAATAAGTTTAAACTCCGACTCACTGACATGGAAGTTCTTCCAAGGGGCCCACGGCCATCCACTTCCATGGAACGTGAGAGTGAAAGGGTCCAAATCCATGGAAACAATGTGAACATAATGGGAACACTCGAACACTTGTCGTGATTCACAGTTTTTGGGGAAGCTATGCCATCTTGAGGTATATGAGTGGGTCAGGGCTGCAGGCTGAAAAATCATGACCATCAACTGTTTGGGGACATGCATAGTGATGGATAAACACAAACACAACAAGTCTTGATCTACTCGAGTCAGCACCAGTTACAGTCTTTACACAGCTAACACTACACATGGTATAAGCACCAATCAGCCAATCGTGGCCTTTGAACATCTGCAAAGCCGGGCGTGTTTATCTGGAATTACGGTCCAGTCTGATCCATAGTGCCCCCAACCCTGATGTTTCGTATACAGAAGCCTGGCTCCCTTGCCAAAAACACCAACGAATCTGAAGTTCCAATTCAGGAATCAATCACAAGGACCCCCAAATCCCAAATCCCCTCATTCCATTGCTCACCTTCCCCGCCCGTCATACCCGCATCTCTCCCACCATGTCAGGCTCCTCCACGAAGAAGTCCGCGATATCGCCAGCATCGCCTCCTGCACTGACCACCTTCAGCTGCGTCGTCCCCACACTCGCAGCCGGAGGGGGCGAGGCCTTCGCCGCCTTCGGCGCCACCTTCGGCGCCGTTCGGAGGGCTTCGACGAGAACGGTGTGAGCAACAGCGATGATCGCAAACTATATAATAGACCTTTTTTTTGTTTCTTTTCTCTTTGTTTCCAATAGCAATGGCCTCCAAACTATCAGCGATGGCCTCCAACCTACTAGCCATGGCCTCCAAACCTAATAGCAAAGGGGCTTTAGGGTTTGGTTGGCTTTCTGGTTGGACTCCAAAATTCATGTCAAGTCCATCGAAGGCGATCAAATGGGGACGTATAGGGATTCGTCGAGCGGGATCGGGGGATCTGCGAGAAAAAAACCAGTTGATTCGCATCTTTGCTAAGAACAGGGCATCTCATCACTAGGGCGACGCATCAAAGTGAACTATGGTAGCTGCAACAAAAATGCCAACATCATAAGACATCCACCTTTTCCCACCGTTGGCCATCGCTGTGGAACAGGTGGTGGAGCGAACGGTGGTGATTGGCACCACACAGTGTTCATCAGCCTGCCATGAGTAGCCGAGTAGCACCAGCACCATGATATCATCTGTCTTGCTTTACAGGAGCCCCCCCTTTCTTTGACGGTGTAAACTGCAAAGCTGTCTCCAAAAGCTACATGCTTTGCAGGATGCGACTCAGGGACAACCCTCAGTGTGACTCAGAGCCAGTGTCACACCTGTGCAGCCAGAAGGCTACTGCCCGAAGACTAAAGCCAAACGTGAAACAAAAAAAGACATAACAGCTCTTGGGGTGGCCTCACAAGAATGTAGATCGTCTAGAAACTCAGAACTCACGCACAGCACAACACATCAATAATAGCAACCACCTGGCTGAATCAATTCTTCTCCAGATTTTTGCCAGCATTTTCTATGGCTTAACTTTCAGTCAGCGGCTCTGGGTTGCTACATACAGGACCATTAGAAACAACATGAAACAACAAGCAAAGATCCGGAACCGCTCCGCCATTATTTTTTGAAAAGCTTTATATTCCGATATTCCATGCAAAAACTATACACCGATACACCTACTTCTCATCTTTCAATTCTCAACATTTGACCGATCACCCCTGTTCAACACATCCCAGAGCCTCAGAGGCGTCTCTTGCGACTCAGCCCGCCTTGGCCTCCACGGCCTTTTCCGCGGACGCCACGGGCGCGGCCGGCGCCGCTGTCGGCACCGGCGTCGGTGCTGCCACTGCCGCGGGCTTCGCCCCGTCGTCGGAGCTAGTCTGGGTGTCCCCGTCGGTCGTGATGAGCTTGCGCAAGAGGCGCACCTCCTGTTTTTGTGGCACGAGAAAAAGACGCTAGGTGGGTGCGTTTCAAGCGGTGCGTGGGCACCTGCTGAAACAGCGAGGTGGGTGCGTATGCTGCTGGCAAAGTGGCGCAGGCTCTTTCCTTCTGACGTTTCTGCAAATGTTTGAGATGCATAACTTACCACTCCGCCAGCACAAAGGAGCTGTTAAAACGCCAGTCGATGCATCCACAGAAACAGCAGGAGAAAAGGACCACCTCCGACCCAATTTCCGGCCCAGACTTTCGCCAGTCCTTGGTGAGACTTCCCAAGGTCTCCCGCAGCATCCGCGTCTCCTCCATCAACTCACTCCGTCGCTGTAGCCGCCACACGGTCCGGCCGCGCCCCGCAGGCGCCCCGCTGAACGGTGCGTGGTTGGAGCCGTGTGCCCGTGGTGTGGGCGCCAGAAAGGCACATGGACACCAGGCCAGAAAGCTCAGGGCCTGAAGCCACAGAAGATCGGCTGAGTTTGGGGAAACCAACATGAACGAACCGCGACAAAACAATCTCAAACCGGGTTTGGGTGAAGATCTGTATTTGACAACTGGTACTAATTCATGCTGCGTGGCCCTAAAATGGCAGTGGGGTCTGTCTTGTATATATATATATAATATACACATCATCCAACGAAGAATATGCTGCTAGACCAAAATGCTTTGGTTGGGATTCCTCCCTACTCCAATGCACGCTACTATGATGGCTCTGCTTCGAGACGCAAGAATCAGCAGGACACCCGTTTTCCAAGCTGTTCTCTGCAGGTTTCTCATAGCCCTAAAGGTCACTGTCGATTGATTTCTCAGTCGTCACCAAGCAGGGCCTGACCTGACCACAGCGAGACCGTCTTGAGTTTTTCCTTGCTGCGTCGGAGGTCAATTCACCCGGACGTCGTTGGCTCACAACCCCGGAAGGTCGTTGGGGGCCAGCTCACCAGGACGCCGTGAGGTTTGCACGACCAAAACCATTGGGACTTGGAGTCGATCGAGAAAGTTTTGCACAAGAAAGCAGTCTGACCCCCTGGGCCCATTAAAGTATCTCCTCATTAGATAGACCTCCTGGTGGGTATCAAGTATCTACCATTAAAAGTATCTCCTCATCTGATAGTCTTCCCCAATTTTTTCCAAAGCTGGTGGCACGGCGAGAAAAGCCAAGTCACGCCCAGCGAAATGCCCCAGCTTCGAAGACGTGGAGTCTTCGGCGCCATCCGTCTCCGCCGTCGGACCAGCGGACCAGTGCGGAGACTTCGCTGGACTGTGGCCAAGGTATGCCGAGGTATGCTGGACTGATGTGGGGGATGATCACTTGCAAGTTCATGGACGAGTGGCACCTGTTTGGTTTCCAAAGGCACCTTTTGAAAGGACATCCCCTTTTCCATCTTGGCCGAATTGACATTGATTCACTCAAAGAAAGATCCAAAACAGTGCTTTTTGACAGGTGGAACAGGAAACGTTAAGACTCCATGTTTCAAGGTGCTTAGTCTTGATGTGACTTGGACTAACCTTGGAGGCTTGATAGGGCTACGCTAAGCACTGTCATGAGCTCCACGGCTGCCTTCGGCTTCTCTTCTTTAAAAACAAGAGCAACCGTGGAAGATCCTTGATATTCTTCATCACTGGGATTCGGCCATGGGACTCTCTAAATAAGCCTCTGTTGATGTTTGATTGAACAGCAAGAAAGCTGGATCTCCAAAGTGCAGGTTGAAAGATCGACTTGTGAGCTTTCAGCTTGCCCATCTGTCGGACTCTCGTCTTCATCCTTCAATGTTCCCTACGCATCCCCAAACCAATTCAAGTGCAGTTTCATCTGCACGCGCTGAAGCTTCGATGCAGCGTTCGGCCCTTTTTTTTCGCGCCCACGCACGTGCGCTTTCGCGCACCATTCCACCGGAATCTCCTAAGTTCGAGTCGTTGGAGCTGTGGACATGCAGGAAACTTGGCTATGGAAGAACATGGATGGCTGAAACATGCAGTGAAGTGTGTTCTTCTCTATTTCACGGCTGTTTTCTTCTGTGACAAATGGAACCAATTGGGACATGCTGTGGGGGCCTGCATCTCCTACTTGGTCCATAGCTCGACTTCCTTTGGTCAAAGGCACCTTACCACTCTTGGCAGCGGGCCAGGTTTCAAACCAACACGTTGACCTCGTCACCCGCAAAATCCTGCAAGTGGGTGTGTATTTGAATAGGGAGAACCCCCTGGCCCTGGCTGGGTTGTTGATGGTCGTGGTCTCTTTCCTTCCGGGTCAAACGGAGCTCCTCCTTTTTTTTGAGCTACACCCCGAAGATGGTTGAGATGCTGCACACCCCCTGCGAAGCGAAATGAACCAGTGTAGCTAGACTTAGAAGGTACCCAGGAGATCGGAGGACTGAAAGAACGTGTTTTGTATGTCCTAGTTTTCAGTCCAAAAGAGCATTCCCAACATGCTGCACAAGCACCACAAAGTGCGGCTGCCCATCACAGTGTGGTGACCCAATTAAACAGTCCGGTGAAGAATGAGTAAGTTCCTGGAGTGTTAAAACGGCAACTTTCCACCTAACTATAGTGGACTACCCCTAAAACACCACATTCATCCCCCAACATCTGCCTTTTCCAAGGATCTTGTTCCATCCAATTTCACGATGCTCTCCACACAGGAGTTTGGCCAGTCAACTTCACCTGCTGGGTGAACACGTTCACGCTGACTTATGGGTGACACGGTATAGTTCATTCCCAACAGTCTTTGGGTAGAAAAGGTTCAAAGACCCTCTACCCCAGGAGGGCTTTACGGATATACTTATACTTCTAGTCTAATGTATTCATAGGCATGACAAATGCTCAGAGTCCGAGCTTTTGCTGGCTCTACGAGTCGAAAGCTCGGGCCCCCCCTCCCTCATGTTTTCGTCACATCTATTGAAACTGGAAGTGCAAACAGCCACTAACAGTTCAATACAAACAGAAGTGAATGGAAGTGAAGAAACTCCCCAACAATCCGAGGCCCTTCTACCATACAAGACATGTTGCTTATCAGGGACCCCAAAGAACATATTCTCCATGGTTTCCTGTCCCAAAGAAAGATCTTGTAGACCGCAAAGGATGCGATTTGTCGTATAACATAATGTAATGAATCAAGACGTAGTATGCTTGAAACATTTTGGACAAGGGCATCACTTGACAACCAGCTTTTGCTGCTTATCACCTTCACCTTCCATAGATTTCCGCATATTTGCTGCAGGGTTCTTGGATGCTTTGGGGACCATTTACAACAACATATGTTTTGATTATACTTAATCTTCACCTCTCCAGCTCCGCAATCTTTGGTGACCACAAATCGACCCATCTGCATCTCACCTCGCCCACAGCTCTGCCCTGGCTTGCCTACAGCCGACAGCCGCGAGCAGCGACGCTTCGTTCAACGGCTGTGATCGTCTTGGCGGGAAGGACGAGTCGTCAGCCCCTCCGCGGCGGAATTCACCTCCCAAGTCAGTGTCGATCAACACAGCGTGAAAAAGGCGTGTGCCACCGGTGCCTGCCTGCTCAATGTGTCCCATTGCAAGCACGTTGGTCAGTACAAATTCCAAAGTGGTAAGTACACTACATGGAAATCGACCATTGCTACATAGCGATGTATTGTATCTGACTGTTGTCTTGAGCGTCTTAGTGTACTTTCTTCGCACATTGGGGGAAAACAACAACCAGCACGGGTGTTCATTTTTCCCTCTTGGCAGAATGGAAACGAGGGCAGTGAAGAAAACCAAGTGGATCTGGAACGTTAAACGTCAGACAGTTTGCTCACCCCGCTACAAACTGTTGATGCCCTTGCTCCTAGTTTTGTCCTCTTGCTCCTAGTAGCGATGCACTTGTTTCTAATAGCTTCTTGTTACTACTAGTAAGGCACTTGTTACTAGTAGCGATGCACTTGTTTCTAATAGCTTCTTGTTACTACTAGTA